ATGTGCCTTGCAAAGTCACCGGGATACAGTGCCAGGAAATGCCGTGCCCGTGTTTGTTGCAAAAAGAGCAAATATTGTCTTTGCACATGACAGTTGTGGGGTGTAAAACATGCATAGCTTGGCAGTAGACAGTCTTCATTCCAGCACACTTCAGACAATCCCTGACCAGGTTAATTTTTATATTATTTTATTATTTGCAACAGAAATCCCACTTAAAAGCCAACTTCTGTCATCAGACCAGACTCAGAGGTTCTGTGCTGAAGGATGGGCTCTGTGCAGGGTATTTGGTTCCTTCTGTGGAAATGATGTGCTTTTTTCATCTCTCATGGTACTTTTTACTCTACAAATCCAGGCAGCTGCCCATAAGAAAGTGATGCCAAGGAGGGATGTACTTTCCCACGCATCCCTGCACTATCCATATCCAGCTGATATATTTCTTTTGGACTGAGTGACCTCAGCTGTCCTACTGCAGGAGGATCTCCCAGTGTACACAAACTCTAAAATAAACACTCTGTCTTCTCCCTATCAAAATTTTGGGAATATTCTTCCTATTAATTCCTACAGTTCCCCTCCCCTCCCTTTCCTTTTTTTTTTTTTTTTTTTTTTTTTGTTTTGCAAGCTCAGGAGATTAAAGAGGAGGGAGTCTCCAGAGGTGGTAATCTTGGAGTCTCCTTCTTTGGGAGGAATGTTCCCTGATTTTGGGAGGAAAGTCTTTTGACTTTCCATTCAGGCCGAACAATTTTGCTTTGGACTCAACTCCAATTGTACCCTGCATAAGGAAAGAACTAATGGAGCATCCTTACTCCTAGTCCTTTCCAAAGGTTTACTCCAGCCAGATTAATTTTGCTCTTGGTCACGACCTACTTCGGTGTCGTCAGTCATCTGGAAGCACTTGGATATGTTCTGTGTTGGTCTCCAGCTCTCCAGGCAGTCCTTGTGCCCGTCTAATGAACAAAGCTCTGGCTCTGTCCATCCCCACTGCTGTGGGAAGGATGCTGGGCACGGAGATTAGCACAAGTGCCGTCAACATTTCCACCCTCTTTATCTCCAACCAGGGCTGCCAAGGGGAAGACATTGAAAAATGAGGTAAGGGATGACTTTGGACATGAGCTGTGGAAGCAGAGCAAGGAATTAACCCTTAACTCACTCCTCCAGGTGGAGCAATGGCCATGCTGCACGTAGCAGGATCCTCCCAAACCTGTGGTCCCTGCAGAGCAGAATTAGGCTCCTGCCTGGAAGAGTCTTATCCTGACTCCTGGAGATCCATGGAGGCTCCATAGAAATGGTTCACTCCTATGAAATGGAACCTGAGTATTGGACACATCTCAGACAGAAGTTTAGGCTTGGATTGACTGAATCCTTGCCAGCTCCCGTTGTCCAGAGCATGGGAGGACCAGTCCTCCCTCTTCCCTGCAATGGGGTGGGTTTCTCTTCCTTTGGAAAAAGCACTGCCCTGGGAGGTGCTGGTCCCCACGAGCTGGGTGGGGGCAGCAGCCTGTCTCCCCCAGGAGTTTGCTTCCCTTCTAAATGCAGCTCTTTTGGAAAGGAGTCAAGTGCCTTGTATAAACAGCCTGGAGTCAGGATTGCTCCGAAAGAAGCACGGGGATGATTATGAGGGGATTCTGGGGGGAGGAGTCCATGAGGGTGCACACCTTTGGCCTTCCCTTGCCTCTGCCTGTCTGCAATCACTCCTTGCCTGCAGCTCCAAAAATACGCCAGGCTCCCACGGGAGCCTCTGCTCCGGAGGGTCAGCGCTTGGGAGTGCCCCCGGCTCCTCCACCTCCCACCATGCCTTCGCCCTTTGCGTCAGCGAAACCTCCCTGCAAGTCAGCTTGGCTCTTCCTCCAGAACCCCTTCTTGTCATTGGGGAAGATGGATTACGGCGGCTCCCTCCCCTCCTGGGGCTGCTGGCGGGAGCGTGGGGCAGCACGGCACATCTGGAGCGGCAGGAAGGGCCAGGCCAGGGCTGGGTTCCATGCACCAGCAGGTTGTGGGTGGTCAGCATGAACATGTGGGGATGGGAACGCGTGGGAAGAGAGACATGGATGGGAGAGACCCGTGAGGACCTGTGAGGGGACACAGGACAGCGGTGCCTGTCATGTCCTCCAGCCTCAGGGGGTGCATGGACTCCTTTTGGGAGTCCAAGTAATGCTCTCTCCCAGTTTTCTGCACTCAGAGCCTTCAAGGTTTGGGATGACTTTATTTTAATTAAAACTGAGTCTGCTGAATGCAGGGAAAGTCTTGAATCGGGCCTCATCTCACCTCCAGACACTTGGAGTGTGTCTGGAAAAGCCATGCTCCAGCTGCACAAGTCCTGGAGCAAAGGCTGTTTTGCCTTTCTCTGGCTGTTTTGGGTGGCAGTTTCTTTCCAAGGATAAAAAATCACCCCTGCCCTTCCCCTCCCATTCTCTGGGCTCTGCACATCCGAGGGCTGAGGCTGCTGTGTGGTCTCAGGGTGGGATCACATCCCTGGAGAATCCATCCTGCTCTGCTGCCTTTCCGGTTAATCCTGCAGACAAGAGCTGGATTAGAAGGACCCATGGGCAGGGGGAAGCAGTCACACCCCAAGGTTTTCCTCTCCCTTGGCTGGTGCTCTCCAGCTGCATTTCTCCCACCTCGTCTTCCCTCCTGGCAGGCAGCCCCAGCTTGTTCACAGGCATCTCTGGATCCAGGGCTCCATTTTGGCCATCCCAGGTTATCACCAAGGCATAAACACATCTCGGGCCATCTCCTGGCAGTTCTGCCTTTACCTCCCTGCCCTCTCTACCCATGGCTTGTCCCACTTCTCTCCTGCTGTGGTTCCTATGGTCCTCCCATGCTTCCAATCCATCTCCTGCCAACCCTAGCATTCTGGAGATCCAGGCTGCCTCTCCTCCTCATCTTCCCTCTGTGCCAGCATCCTCGACACTCCGTCTCCCCATCTGCCCTGGGATCCGGCTGACATTTGCTGCGCTAATTTCGGCCTCAGTGATCCACCCTCTTCCCTCCCTGTTGGTAAACAGCTTTGCTTCTCCGGCTGACGCCTGGCTCCGGGAGAGCTCTGTGTCCAGCTGCTCTGCAGTTCGGGTGTTCCCGGACCGCTGTTGTTCAGCTGCCTCTTCCTTGCTCCAGGGGCTTCAGTAGAGTCTGGCCAGAGCCACACGAGCAAAAATTGATGTTCTCTGACAACAAGATCCCCTCTGCAGTTCCCATCCTCACAGGAGTCACTCCTCTGCTCCAGATCAGCTCACAGTGATTCCAGCTCAGGCCTGGGGAAGGTGGTGGATCCAGCTTTCACCCACAGGATTTTGTCCTGGGATGGGATTTAGAGTGTGGGAGCTGATAGTGGGAGGGTGGAGAGGTCATTCAGCTTCAAGAGTTTACTGGCAGACATTTCACTTCCACTTTGGCCCTGTCTGGGAGGATTTCCCACGTTACACCCCCAATTCCTGTTCTGCAGCTTTTTGTCGGGGCAAAGTCCCAGCGCGGGACTTTGTCCTTTCCTGGTTATTGCAATGGCACTGCCACCTGATGCCAGCCTGTCTGCTCTCAGCCCTCAGATGTGGCTGGGAACTCTGTGATGGCAGCTTGTGCCTGTGATCCTTCTTTCCTCATTTTTTGGGTGTTTGCCTTTCTCCTTTGTCTTCCCTGTGGTCTCCAGGTTTTTCCAAGCCTGCCCTCACATTGCCGTTTTCTCCTTCATCTCCATCCTCCTCTCTTCTGCTGTCTGTCAGCATCTATCCCACCCCTTATGCTTTTAGATTCCCAGACAGGTCTTTTGACTGGATCTCTCCTCCCTCACAGGAGAAGATTCCCAAGAAACCATTTCCCTGCCCATCTTCTACCCAAATTCTGCTTCACTTGCTGGGCCTGCCCCTGCATCATCCTCTGCTCCCAAAACACAACTCTACCCACTAATGGAACTTGCATCCTCCAAGCTGGATGGACAATTTTGGTCTTTTGTGATTATTTTTTTAAATCATTTAGTGGGTCAGGGCTACTGGGCGCTACCACCCTTCCAAATAAATACTCATAAGGACTATTGCTGCTCTCCTGGCCAAGGACATCAGGAATTTGTCAGTCCTACAGAACCTTTGATCCCCCATCCATCATCCTGCACTTCCTGACGTTATCATTGAGGGACACTCTTCCGGTATTCAGCAAATATTTGATTTCCTGTGAATCTAAATAAAAAGACCTTCCCCTGTTTGTCTGGTTTTTTTTGGGGTTTGGGTTGGGTTTTTTTTTTTTTTGTGGTTTCTTTAATTGATTTTAAAATACTTTTGGCACCGTGTGGCTGCATGCCATTCCAAGAAAAATAAAGGAAAATTGTTTTGACTAAATATAGATCAAAAGACATTTGTGAGCTGCCTCTTGCATCCCTGGCTGAGAGCGCTCTCCTGTCACAGCCCACCCAGGCTCTTTCAATCAGATTTCTCCCTAAACTCTCTGTGTTCCCTCCTCTGCCTCCACTCATCTTGGCTCCTGGCTCAGCTCACTGCTCGGCTCAAGGGAAGATGCTGGGTTTGGAATCCTATTTCGGAGTCTTCCAGTAGTGAGACCACGCTGTGCATATTTCATCCTCTCCCTCTGGGGCTTTTAACGCCCTTTTTCGACTTTTTCTAGCAACACCCCTTGGAGCAGGTTCAGTTAATTGACTTTCCAGCTGAGTGAATCCCAGGATGCTCCATGCCAGAAGTGCAGCCATTGGCCAAACCCAGCTGGAATACACTCATGCAGGATGTGGTCGCCAGCAGTTATGCAGCAGCAGGGCACTGAGGTCCCGTAAGGCCTCAAAGGGTGCATGGAGAGGCTCACATCGGCTATCAGGGAAAATTCTCCACCGAAAGAGTGGATAATCATTGGAGCAGGCTGCCCAGGGGAGTGGTGGGGTCACCATCACTTCTCAATATGTAGTGGGCATGGGCGGTACTCAGTCAAAGGTTGGACCTTGGAGGTCTTTTCCAACCTCAATGAGTCTGTGATTCCAACTGGGTCCTCACCTCTTTGTTTGCCCACAGGTGTTTGTGCTGTGCCATGGGCTCCTCCAGCTCTCCCAGCTCCTCTACAGCGCCAACTTCAAGAGCAGCCTCACCACCATCGAGAAGCGCTTTGGGCTCTCCAGCCTCTCCTCGGGTTTCATCTCCAGCTTGCACGAGGTAACTGGGAGAGGAACACCCAAAGGGTGGCCAGGACCTGGGAGGCACCTTCCCAACAGGGTCTCAGGCCTGTGCACACCCAGGGCTTCCTCAGCCTCCGTGTGCTGGGAGGAGCAGCTGTGCTGTGTTCTGGGACACCTCGTCACACCTCACTTGCTCTGCCATGTCCAGGGGGAATGGAGGGTGATCTGTGGTGATGGCCCTTGGACAAGAGCAGACTTCCACTGGATGGAATTCCAGAATGGCTTGGGTTGAAAGGGACTTTAAAGTTCATCCCAACTCATCCCACCCCCTGCCATGGGCAGGGACACATTTCACTATCCCAGCTTGCTCCAAGCCCTGTCCATCCTGGCCTTGGACACTTCCAGGGATCCAGGGGCAGCCACTTCTCTGGCACCCTGTGCCAGGGCCTCACCTCCCTCACAGGGAAGGATTCCTGCCCCATATCCCATCTAACCCTGCCCTCTGGCAGTTTAAGGCATATTGCTGAGCTGGCTGAGGATTTTCTCGCAAACACTTTCTTATCAAGAAATCCCTTAGAATAAGTTTTCTCATTTTCAGGAATTCACATTTTCAGGAATTGTGTCCTTAGTAGCTGTTCAAGGCCTGGAAAAGGACAGGAAAAGATCCGCTGGCAGAGACTTTTTTGCTGGCACTGGATGGCAGCACACTTGTTTGTGAGCTGCCTGATGAGCACATGGGATGTTCCATCAAGAAGCTGGACACTGAGAATCTTCCTGGACCCTTGGGGAAGTGGCTGCCCCAATCTTACCTCACCCAGCATGAACATTTGGGATTAAGATGTCTCAGGGCCCACTGAGACTTCCTGCTGTCTGTGACTGTCCAGGACAACAATCTTATTGCGTTGGTGCCTACAGCAATTCCAAGAACAAAACCCACAAAGAGACAAACAAGGGAGCCCACGCAAACATAAATACAAAGTTTTCTTAGCCATACATAGAATCACAGAATGGTTTGGGTTGGAAGGGACCTTTAAAGGCCATCTTGCCCAAACCCCTGCAATGAGCAGGGACAGCTTCAACATGCCAAAGTTAAATGATGCTTAGCTTGTCCCAAGCTGTCAAAGCCCACGTAATGGGAATTTTGTGGTGTTCCCCCAGTCGCCTGAGTGAGCTGCATGGCTTCATGGCTTTCTAGCTGATGCTATCTGCAGTTGCAAATGTCCAGGGTCATGAATATTTGCAGTGGGCTGGACTTTGTAGCAGGGCTCATGTCTGTCTGAGTCACAGGAATGGAGGCAATATGTTTTATTCCTTGCTGGTTTTGGAGGAATTGTCCATTTATGCCACATCAATCGATCTCTTCTCCCAGGGAACAAGGGACAGAACAAGAGGAAATGGCCTCAAGTTGTGCCAGGGGAGGTTTAGTTTGTGTATGAAAGAAAATTTCTTCACTGAAAGGGTTGTCCAGACAAGGCAGTGGTGGAGTCCTCATCTTTGGAGGGGTTTAAGAGATGTGTGGATGTGGCACTTGGGGATGTGGGTCAGTGGTGGCCTTGTCAGTGCTGGGGGAACACTTGGACTTGCTGGTCTTGGAGGGTTTTTCCAACCTAAATGATTCTGTGATGCCTGTGGGGTGAGGGACAGGTGTGGGTGCTGGAGAAGCCCCAGCCAGATCACAGATCACAGGGAGGCTGTGATGTCTTTCTTGCCAACCAGAGGTGGCCAAGGCCACGGAGTGACCTTCTGGCTGGAGATGAGAAGGGAGCACCGACGTGCTGTGAACACGCAGGGCAAGGGGATGTTCCTGCTCCCGTGAGGGTGAAACGCCTCCTGATGAGAGACAGACCTGTCCACCCACCCCGACACAGCCGTAGGGTCTGAATGTCCTCTGTGACGTTTTCTCACATTCCTCCCTTTTCTCTGTGCCTTTTCCAGATCGGCAACGTGGTGCTCATCATCTTCGTCAGCTACTTCGGCAGCCGAGTGCACCGCCCGCGCGTGATCGGCGCCGGGGGGCTGCTGCTGGCGCTGGGGGCCTTCCTGGTGACCCTGCCCCACTTCCTGTCAGGCCCCTACGAGTACACTGCACTCAGCACTGGTGAGTGCCACCAGCTGTGCCCCCACGGAGCCAGCTGCTCTGGGATGGGCTGCCCAAAACATGGGGGTGTTTCCAGGGCACACATGATTTAAACAGTGGTTGAAGGCAGAGCCTTAAGGTGGGCAGTTGCTGATTAAACCTGATGTCATTATGGCTTTGGAACCCCTGCTGAATGCAAAAATTACATGTGGGATTTCTTCTGCCTCTCCTGCACATGTTATTCCAGCTGTTGTCACAGAATCATGGAATGGTTTGAGTGTGAAGGGACCTTAAAGACCATCTCATTCCACCCCTTCCATGGGCAGGGACACCTTCCATCCTCCCAGGTTGCTCCAAAGTCTGTCCTTGAACACTTCCAGGGATGGGGCAGCCACAGTTTCTCTGAGAGTGAGACAGTAGCATGAACTCTCTAAAAGTTTGATTAAAATCACAGCCTGTTTGTTTGCTACTCCGACCTCGGTGTTATACTCTAGAGGAAGGGCAGGGCAATGAGAACTGCTGAATAAAATGAGCAATCCATCCAAAATCCAGGTGTTTGTGCCTACTCAGTGAGTTTGGGAGATTCCTGCTACTGGGGGATTTAGTGTGGGAGGAGGCAGGGGATGTACCCAGTTTTGAAATGTTCATTTCTTCCCTTACAGGTAACAAAAGCCAGGGGCAGGTTGAGCTGTGCTATGCAGAGAGTAGATTTGTGTGCCCAAACACCACCCGGGACCCCCAGAAGGAGGCCAGCAGCATGTGGGCCATGATGGTCATCGCCCAGCTGCTGGCTGGGATCGGGACCGTGCCCATCCAGCCCTTCGGGATATCCTACGTGGACGACTTTGCAGATGCCAACAATTCCCCGCTGTATGTTGGTAAGTGGGACCATTGCTGTACATTGTTTTTTTTCCACAGAATCCCAGGATGGTTTGGGTTGGAAGGGACCTTAAAGCTCATCCTGTTCCATCCCCTGCCATGGGCAGGGACACCTTCCACTAGACCAAGTTGCTCCAAGCTCCAGCATCCTTGTCTTCTCTCTGCAGTGAGGGATCATTGTTCCAATGAATTGTCCCACTGATCCCTTTGAGTTCCCAAATCTGCAAGGAAAATGAAGGAAAGGTTCTGAAGAGGAAGGAAAGTGGGACTGGTGTGTTGCTTATAATACAGGCGCTCCCTTTGGGGCTGTGGGAATGTCTGTCGGGATGAATAGCTCCAGGGTTGTCTCAGTATAGCAGAAATTCCATCTCCCCAAGTTCTGTTTCATTTTATGTCTCATGCAGCTCAAGCTCACTGGCTCCTTTTACACATCTTGAGAAGGTTGTGTAAAGAGTTTCTCTCAAGGAGGGAACTTGGATCCTGCAATTGCAAACAAGTCAAAAGAAAATGTTCTGACCTTATGGGTTATCTGTTTTAGAATGGGAGGGCTCAGCTGCACCCAGGGTGGTCTGGTGGCCTGTTTGCCCTCAGAATCTTCCACCTCTCCTGATGTTTGTACCAAATGTTTTTCCTTGGATCTGAGGATTACAGTGTGTTTGTTTCCTTGGCATTATGGAGGAAATGAAGGTCTCCATCACCTGTGTGAGCCTGGGATGTCACTGCCCTGCTGCTTGCTGGGGTTCATGAATATCATGGATATTCATGGTGAAGCTGACAACTTGTGTCAGCAAAGCCTTGATGGCAGCAGAGCAGAGGGACTTTTTCCACAGGCAGCTGCCCTCCCTCTCCTGTTCTTGTCAGATAAAAACCACCTTCAGTGTCAGGCCATCTGAAAGTCATGAAGGGTGGTACCTCCCCTCTGTGTTTTGTGCCACCATTCCTGCATCTCCTGGAAAGACAGAAGCCATATCTGCATGGAAACTACCATTCCCTGCTCTCAGGGGCTTTCTCTGCTCCCTCTTCCCAGCCATCCTCTTTGCCATTGCTGTGTTCGGCCCTGCCTTTGGATACCTGCTGGGGTCCGTGGTGCTGCGGCTCTTCGTGGATATCGGAAGGGTTGACACTGGTGAGTATTGCTCAGGTAGCAGCAGTCCTAAAGACCCTCTGTGGATCAGAAGGTCACTCTGAGATGAAAGGTGACAGACGCCACCAGTCCTGTGACCCATAAAACCCACTGCCCAAGCTGGAAAAGCACCCCCAGCATAGTCCTCCACTCCGTCACCCCACAAGGACAGATACGGGTGGTTCTGAAACCACCACTGAAGGAGAGCCCTGGGGTAGGGACATTCCAATGCCCAACCCATGGTGCTGCACTGGAGGTCATGGCTGGGGTCTGCCCACAGCCACCACACCGAGGAGGTATCCCAAAACCCCAGCATGGTGGTGGAGAGGAGCAGGGAAAGATGAGGAATCCAGGGATGGGGAAGACAACCACAGAGCAACCACTGCCCTATGGCTACACGGGAAACTTGAGTCCACCCATCCTCCTCCCCAGCACTAGCCCCCAGCACCTGCAGAGAGCAGGGCTGAGCTGCCGCCACGGAAGGGATAATTTGCTTTATTCATGGTGTGTGCTTATTATTTCTGGTAACTTAATTACTAAAGAATTCTCCCCAGCTCCGTCATTAACGTGGCTTTTCCTGTGTTTCCTTTAGAGAGATCAGAGCCTGCCTGACATTTTTGTCTGGTGCCTGATAAGAATAATAAATTAATGTGGGCAGGAAACGCTAAAAAGCCTTGGCCCACTCCCCGCGGCAGCAGCCAGATTTAGCAGCCTCTGCCTGGTCGCTCCATGATGACGTCCAGACTCCAGAGTGGAGTGGTCCTGTTTGGGGAAGTGGGGTGATTGTTTCAGTGGGGTGTGGGCTCCTCTCCTGTCACACCCTGGCACGGAGCTCCCACCTGGAGCTGGCCGCTGGTTCCTTCCCAGCTGCCACATCCCGGCCATGGGCAGCCGGGTCCCCATGCCAAGCCAGGCAATCTGTCAAACCTGTGAGCATCACTTGGCCCAGCCAAAGGATGTGAGTGCTGGAGACAGAGCGGCTCTCACCTTCTCCTCCTTTTTCCGGAGAAAGCGCCTGGAGTTTGGTCCACTCGGAAACCAGGAGTTTGTGCCAGCACAGGACCTTCCCTCAGTCCCTGCGAGCAGAAAGTGACCAAGCCTGGAACAATGGGAGAGCAACTTTTTCCAGGAAAGCAGCGTGTCCTTTCCCAGTCCCTGTCTTGGCTCAGCATCCCTGGTCCAACCCACTGCGCTCTCCAGGCAGAGGATGGAGTCGGGCCCCCGTAATCTCTGCCTCACTGGTTGGCTCAGGGGTTAGAGTTGAACCTGTGCCACCAGCATGCTTCCATGCTGACCAAATCCATCCTGGGAGGCTCGGTACAGCTGGGATGAGTGGTGGTACAGGGCCCTAGCCAGGGAAATCACAGGCCAAACACAACCAGGGCCAGTCTTGCTGCCAACACTGGTAGGAGATCCCACCTCCATCCATTTGCTCTTACATGGCAGTGGAGAGACCCTTGGGCTGTGCCTACAGGGACTCTTCATACTCCACTAGTCTGTATTTTCATGGAGGTTTGTCCCTTTCACCCCTGGAGCTCTTACAGAGTATCCTTGTGTCTTGTAATGCCAGTGGACCTGACGCCAGGTGACCAGCGGTGGATCGGAGCATGGTGGCTGGGGCTGCTCATCTCCTCGGGCTGCTTGGTGCTCACCTCCATCCCTTACTTCTTCTTCCCTCGGTACATGGTGAAAGGACAGGTGAGAGCTCATCTCCAGAGGCTGGAACGTCCTGGAGTCAGGGATGTGCTCAGGGAGGGAATATCTGTCCCCAGAGGGGAGGGGGGAGAGGGAGGAAGGAAGTCCAGCAACTCTTTCCCATTAAAACAAAATTTAAAAGATGGAAAATAATTAACATGTATCATTTTGGTGTTTTCAAAGCCAAACCCTACTGGTTTTGTTACAAAAATACTTCAGTTCTGTTTTGAAATTGTTTATTCATTGAAATCAAACCCAAAATATTCCACAGTTATGGTTAAAGGACTCCCCAGACTTGTGCTGAACTATCTCTAACTTTAATTTTCAGACTTTTTGCAGAGTTAAAAGAGAGGTGTTTTGTCAGGATTCAGGGGAGGAAAGAATTACAAGTTCTTAAAAGTTCCCAACAACAAGCTGCTGTCCTGCTGCTCTGCTCAGGGGCTGCAGTGATATTTGAGATAATTCACCCCTTTAATCACAGAATTCCGGAATGGTTTGGGTTGGAAGGACCTTAAAGCTCATCCTGTTCCACCCCCTGCCATGGGCAGGGACACGTTCCACTATTCCAGACCACTGCTCCGAGACCCGTCCAACCTTCAGGGTTGGAGCAGCCAAAGCTTCTCTGGGCAGCCTGTGCCAGGGCCTCACCTCCTCCAGAATTTGTCCCCAAGATCCCATCTAACCCTAGTGGCAGTGGGAAGCCATTCCCCCATGTCCTGGCGCTCCAGGCCCTTGTCCCAAGTCCCTCTCCAGTTCTCTTGGAGCTCCTTTAGGCCCTGGAAGGGGCTCTCCCCAGAGCCTTCTCTTCTCTAGGTGAACACTCCCAGCTCTCCCAGCCTGGAGAGGTGCTCAGTGCACGTGGGATGGGGCTTTGCTGTAATTGTCAGGCTTGGCTGGGGGTGAAAGGCCCCTGGGACAGGCCCTGTCCCTCCTGAGCCTCCCTGCTCCAGGACAGTGCCACCCCCCTCACCACAGGCTGCTCCTCTCTCCCCTGCCAGGAGCGGAACACGGAGGCCGGCATGCTCAGGAAGATGGAGACAGGGGCTGCTGAAGAGACCTCCCTGCTACAGTTTATAAAAAGTAAAGTCCTGGCAGGTCCAGGCGAGGGTGGATGGGGATGCTGGGCCGTGCTGGGTGGGTGGGTGGGGGCCATCCCACCAGCAGATTCACACCAAGGGGGTTTACTGGGAGTCCTTGGGAGCCCAGCAGCGTGTGCAGACCAGCTCTGGCACCACGGGGGCATAAGGACCATGGAAAGGTGGGCACAGCCTCCCTCTGGCTACATACCCCTTGAGGCCCCTCTTCTGTGGGGTCTGAACTGTTTCCAAATTTTGCTTTGAGGACCTTGAAGTGGTGTGAGTGTGCCGGAAAAGCGTCGCTGGGAGGAGTGGGCATGGGGCTGCTGGCGCCACCAGCTCCTCGACAAGGTCACCCCACTGCAGTTGACACTGTTTATGTGGAGCCAAAACAGGCTTGAGAGGGATGTCACTGCTGAGGGACCAGATTAATGAGTCTTTTAGCTCCAGGAGGATTTCTGCCCATTTAAGGCCCCTCCCTCCTTGCCTCTTCCTGCACTGCACTCATATCCTGGAGCTGCCAGTTCCCTCTTCTCCTCTCTTTAGGCTTTAATGGATGCTGGCTCTCCACCACTCTCTGCTAATTAGAAAACTCAAAAGAGAAGAAATAAACAGAGTTTCTCCCAGGGTCCATCTGCCTCTGTTTACAGGGCCAGAGGACACAGTGTCTCACCAGGAAAACACATCCAGGGTCCTGCCAGCTGCTGGGACACATTAAGGTGTCTCCCCTCCCACTTTCCCATGTCTGCAGACATCCCCAGTAGATCATCAACTCACAGACATCCTTCCTGGGAACAGGCTAAGGGTGGGGGTTTCTTCCCAGTACAAATTACTGGTGTGAGGATCACACAGCTAAAAGATATTTTTCCTATGGTTTCCCTGTAGGATTCCCAAAGATCTTCCTCAGGCTGCTGCTCAACCCCCTCTTCATCCTCCTGGTGCTGGCTCAGTGCAGCTTCTCCTCCGTCATTGCGGGTCTGGCCACCTTCCTCAACAAATTCCTGGAGAAGCAGTACGGTGCTTCCCCCTCCCAGGCCAACTTCCTCATAGGTGAGCATGGATGGAGGCAAAAAATATCCATCAGCAGGGAGCCAACTGCCCATATTCCACAGGCTTTTTAAACCACAGAGGAGGAGTCACTGAAAGCTCATTTTTGGATGAGACCTGGGGTTCGCCTTGGGGTAGTTGGTGACTTCCCTGACCTGTGGTTCCCCAGCTGCCTTGGGTTTGGGCTGTCTTGGACAACAGTTGGATCTGTGAGGTCCAGAGAGCTGCCCCCTGCCCATGGAGGGGTTCTGGGCAGGCAGGACCCCCTGATGGCTCCATTCCTCTGCAGGAGCTGTCAACCTCCCGGCGGCGGCACTCGGGATGCTGCTGGGAGGGATCATCATGAAGCGCTTCTCCTTCTCCCTGCGTGCCATCCCGCGCTTCGCCGTGGTCGTGCTCGTCTTCTCCATCCTCCTCTGCCTGCCCCTTTTCTTCATGGGCTGCTCCACAGGGCACATCGAGGGCATCTACCACCCCAGGTAATGCAGGTGCTGCTCCCAGCTCCTTGTTTCTCCAGCTCTTACCCCTGGGGAGGGATACACGCCGGTGGAGGGGCAGAAGATACCACCATACTGCTTCTTGCTCCTTGATCCCCAGTGCATGGAGGAGATCCGGGTGCTTCACAGCCCAGAGAGCTCAGGAGGACATTTACCCATGATCTTCTGGGCCAAACAAGCAGGGTGTAATTTTTCACTCTGGATTTTTAGGGGAAAATTAGGAATATTGTGTCCATATCACTTCATATGCTCCCAGTGTTCTAGCTGGACATCATCTTTCTCCTCACCTCAGTGGATATTTTTGGCTCTTACCACGACTCCTTAGGATAAAAATGACTTTTATATGTGGCCAAGGCTTGAAGTCAAGTGCATTAAGCTCATTTCCCAGGGCAATGCCAGCAAGAAAGAGATTTCTGATGCCATCTTCCCACAGGAGGTGGAGCAGCCCCATCCCACCCTGCCCAAGGGCAGCTCCTCAGCGCCACATTCCTGCAGGATTCAGGCTGTGACACCAGCAGATGTGCTCCTTGGGGGAGTGAGGGAAGACAGGGCAGATCTGGGTTTGTCCTCTGCACTTCCACAGTTGTTTGGGAACATGCCCACTTTCAGTTTGTGTCTGTGTGGTGTTTCCAGCTGTGGCTGTTCACACATCTGTTTGTGTAGCTCTGGACAGAGCCCAGATCCATTTCTCCATGCTTTTGGCTGATTAATTTTCAGCTGGAAAAAAAAAAAAAAAAAAAAAAGAAAAAAGAAAAAAAGAAGTGTGTGAGTACTTGTTTGTAGACAATAACAAAATTCCTGTGACATTCACTGCACACTTCCAGAGGTACCTGCGGGGATCAGGGGCTGGCAGAAGGCCAGGCTGCTGCTGGCAGTGTCCCAGCCCAAACAGGAACAGGAAAACTGCTCAGCTAGTAAAAGGGATTTTTTTTTTTTTTTTAATTCCTCCTGTCCTATTTCTTAATGTTTTACCAATTTATCCCCCACTCCTTTCTGGCAGTACACCCAATTCCCAGCAGCAGCTCAAGGCACGGGTTGGGTGCCAATGCTCTAAGCAGATCTTCCACCCTGTGTGCCGGAAAAACACCACGGAATACATCTCACCCTGCTTCGCTGGCTGCACCAACAGCACCACCAACCCCTCCAATCCCAAACAGCTGGTGAGTAAAGCAGGTGGTTAGCAAAGCAGCCTTGCTGGGAATAGTGCAGTGATGCTGCAGGAACCCAATAAATGCAATAAGGGGGTGGAACCTTTTCCACACGGTGTGCTGAGCCCTGGGAAGGTACCATGGAGAATTGCTGCAATGCCCTGGGAGCCTGCTTGGAGGAACAGGGATGGTGGCAAATCCCACTACAGGTTGCCACGGCTGTGCTTTAATACTGGAGCTGTTATCGGTGTCCTGCACAGGGATGTGGGATGAGGGGTCACGAGAAGCCTGCTCCTGGCGCTGGAAGTCTGACGTCTGTTTTGTTCCAAACGTTTCCAACAGATCTACCACAACTGTTCCCTGAATTGGAATGAGCTGTTCTCCACCTACACGGGCTCTTGTCCAGTCAGCTGCTCCCATATGCTCCTTCCTGCCATATTCCTCATCTCCTTTGCTGCCCTGGTCGCCTGCCTGTCCCACAACCCCCTGTACATGATGGTGTTACGGTGAGCAGGGGCGGGTGGTGCTGAGTCCCAGAGGGGAGCCAATATGATGGTTGGGATCAAGTCATAAACATATATCCAGCCCAAGTCTTGGCCAAATCCAGTGCCAGCAGCTCTGACCTCCCGTGGCTTCTCCCCACCAGGGTGGTGAACCAGGATGAGAAGTCATTCGCCATCGGAGTCCAGTTCTTACTAATGAGACTGCTGGGTAAGTTCATCTCTGAATGAGGCTGGGGGTTTTCTGGAGCCGCAGGAGGCACTGAACCTCCTCAGGATCAGCACCTGACTCCATCCTCTTCTCCCACCAGCCTGGCTGCCGGCCCCAGCCATGTTCGGAGCTCTCATCGACTCCTCCTGCATCTACTGGCAGCAGCAGTGCAGCCAGCGCCGCTTCTGTGCCTACTACAACAACGATTTCCTCCGAAACAGGTACCCTGGGCCCCGGGCCCGGGCAGGGGAGGGATCCCAGCCCAGCCTGGGACCGGCTGGAAGCGCCAGCTCCAGACGTGGCATGTCCCTGCTCTTCTCCCGGCAGATACCTGGGGCTGCAGGTGGGCTACAAGGTGGTGGGCACCGTGCTGCTCGCCTTCATCAGCTGGAAGGTGAAGAGGAGCAAGGAGTACAACGTGCAGGAGAAGGCAGCGGGGCTAGTGTAGCCCCCGAGGACTGACTCGCACCCCCACCACCCACCGCCACTACTTTGTCTTGTTCGGGTTTGTTTTATTCCCCGCGGGAGCGCCTCTCCCACAGCTCGGAGGGATGCTCCGGGCCAGCCCCATCCTGGGAATGGCAGCTCCCAGGGGCTCCAGCTGCGCTTGCCATGACCTGGGGAGGAGCAGCCCCCGGCCAGCTGGAGCAGGAGGCAGAGGGGGCTGGAACACAGGGACCCGGAGAAGTGCCTGCTGTGCGCCACGGTCCCGCTCCGCTGTGACATTCCCGGCCGGTGTGACATTCCCGGCTGCGACAGGAGCAGGAGAGGTGGCTGCCAGCCCGGTGTCCCCCACCCACAGCCCCCGCAGAGGGCAGCAGGGACACCGCACACGTGTTGGGACAAGTCAGCACAAAGGGTTTATTGCAGAATATCTGGGGCTTGTTGCTCTTTTTATTTTTTAAATAAAGGTCACTTTTCCAACTGCTGCGCTTTCTTGGTCTCCCCTCCTCCCCACCAACAAGACAAGGCCTCGGGAGGCTGCAGGTCACAGCCTGGCCCATGCTGAGCACATTCCAGCTGGGAAAGGGGAAGAAATGGTGGCAGAGGGGGACATTCTTCTGCAGCTCCAGCGATGGAGGATGAGGGAGGGCTGGTAGGGACTACGAAGAGCTCGGGGCCCAGCCTGCAGCCCCATGGAACCCAGCCGGCCCTGCCTACATCTCCCTGATGGGCAGGGGCTGCAGGCAGAGAAGGTTCTGACCTGAGGTTCTCATCCTGAATAGGTTTATTGGCACAGATCTGGTATTTGGTTGCTTGAGCAAGTGCCTCAGAGGAGGGACCATGAACAAAGAAATGCCCGGCAATTAAAAAGTTTCATTCCCCCTCCCTCACACCACAGTCCTGAGCAAGAGCCAGAACAGGGCCTGGGGTCCTTCTCACCCTTCACTTGCTGTTTTGGTTGTTTCACACCCCTCAGGTGGGTTTTGGTGAGGGTTTGGTGGGTTCTGTCAGTCCACACTCTGATGGAACACAGACCACAATCTGTTCCAGCATTTTAAAGTAATATTTTAACTGCAGCTCTACCTATTCTAATTATTATTAATGATCTCTACTATTATTATTGATCAGACTGTCAGTTCCAGGTTTCCTTCTGATCCATCTCTGCCTGACACAGCACAGCTTAGGGTTCACACCAAGTTCAACCCATGGCCTAACAAGTCCAGCTAGTTATGTCAAGCATTGAGCTACTTAAAAATCTTGTCATTTTTTTAATGCAGTGGGCTCTGGGCAGGGTACAGTGGATTTGGGGCTTTCTTTCAGGGGTTTTATATGGGTTGAATGTATTTAGGCCCTGCTGTCCCTACCCCATGCCTTTTCCCTGTACTCTTGGCCCTGCTGCATCCATGGGAGTAGAGTGAAAGGACAGGAGGGGACTTGCCCTGGATTTGCTCTGGATCACCAAAGTCTTACAAAAAAAGAGCTCTCTCCATGTTATCCCTACTCCTGTTCCACCTCCACCTGGCAGATTTTCCCTGAATACCCACCTGACCTTCTCTAAGTTTCTCCACTTCTCTTGTACCAGGGGTAACACCCAAGCAGGACAAGAGCCCCAGGAGGGGCTGGTACAAAGTGCATGAGGTGGCCCAAACGGGGCCAACAGAAGCCCCAGGCCCCAGAGGTGTCAGGGTGGTGGCACAAGGAAGGTCACAGCTGGAACACCTGCTTCAGGGAGCCTTGGAAACCACCCCTTTGGATGCTGATGTCCAGGCACTGTTATCTTGGCTCTTCTTTGCCTTTCAGCAATCTCTCCTCCTCTTTCAGGTTTTCTGCTATCCCAGTTATCACTGTGCTCATCCTTCTCCTCCAGAAACATCTGCCTTTTCTAGGGGAACCATTTGGAGTACAATCCATAGGAAACACATTGACCAGAAGAGCTTTAGCACAGTGAGGGCCTCAGTCCCTGGGAATGTGTGAATGCAGCGAGTTCCCAACTCAGGGTCAGGCAGCTGGAGCAAGAAGGGGCTGAGTTTATCACATCCCACTGTCCTGCCAAAGCCACCCCAACACAGCCCTGCCAAGCTGCAGCCTCAGGAGCAGCACTCCTGGCCAGCAGAGCCACGGGCTGGGAACAAGGTCAGAAGAGCAAAGAACAAAGCACAGAGCTGACTGGGGAATAAAGAAAAACGAGAAAACAACACTCAGAGTTTCCAGTTCTGCTGTTTTCCCTCAGCCACTGAGGAAAAATAGCCCTGAATATTGAAATATTTAAAAAATCATGGAGTGAGGGCCAAAAAACTCCTGGAGTTCTGCTCTGTGCTCCGGCACGAGCGGCTCTGGGCACAGCCCCAGCTCAGCCGTGGCTGTGCAGCCACTCCCCAGCCCAGAAAAGCTGAGGCACCCCATCTTCATCCAGCAAAGCCACAGGGTGCCACAGCCACCTCCAGGGCAGAACAGCACTGCTCTGTCACCACAGCCACCACAGCTGGCTGGAGCTTTCCTGTGCACATCACCAAAGTACCTTGCAATTATGATTTGTGGGCGGTTTTTTGCTATGTGATTATCAAGTTCTCTATTAGTCAGACCAAGGAGTAAATACAAAACCAAAAAAAAAAAAAAAAAAAAAAAATAAAAGCAACTACAATATTTTTTGACAACAAACACCTGGCCACAGAGCAGGAAGGTTGATCCCCAACGCTGTGCTGAGCAGGAGCAGAGCCCCATCCTGGATCTGACACTGCTGGGAAGAGCCATGGCAAACACACAGACTGAAGCAAGACTTGAGAACATTTAAGCAAAAAAGAATTTACTTAAGAAATATTTTTAAAAAGAATAACTTAAAACCCTCCATGGCCTCATGGCACTTTCCTCCCCTTAAGCTGAGGCTGGTGCTTGGCCTCTGTGTCTTTGCATGAACAATCACCCAAAGAAACAACAATTTTTTTGCCCAAAATCACTTCAGCATTATGGTTTGGAAGCAGGCAGCCCAAGACCTCCAACTAAAGGAGTTCAAAGCATGCTAAACATGTTCCAACAGAACTCTGCCTGGAGGAAACAGAATATGCCATGTTTGGGAAATATAACCCTCCCACCTCTGTTATGGATGGTTCTCAAGGCTGGAAATGCAAGGACCAGCTTCATCACAGGCATGGGGCTTTGCTGAAGGCTGTTCCTGCTCTTCCCAACACTTGGCAATGGTGCAGGGAGACAGGAAAAGCCCCAGAGAAGCAAAAGAACACAACAGATGAGTTATGAAAGAAGCATCAAACCACAGGGGAGAGGGGGCTACAAACTACAAAAATGGTCTGCCAGAAGCCAGCCAACCCTAAAACACCAGGGGAAGCCAAAACAAAGGGAAAATGTCACTGCACGAGGACTCTGCAATGTGCAGTGAGACACAAACTGGGAAAATCTCCCATTTGTTTCCCCTCTTCCTTCAGCATCTCTGCCAGAAGGAGGAAGCATACCCACGTGCTGGCAGCTCCTTGACTTTCCCTCTCACTTTGCCACAAGTGCTGACTAATGACACACAAAGGAAATCCTTCTGCAGCCACTGGAGCAGGAGGCAGCAGGAGACTGCACAGCAAATGCCTGGCACAGCAGGTCCCAGGTGCAAATATGGATCTAAAACTCTGCCTATCTCAGTTTCATGCCATGACCCCCTGTAGCTCTGCCACTCTTAGTTTGCTCCTGGCTGTGGGAGGAGAGCCTGGAAGGAGAAGCAGAATGAACAGGACACAGCCCTCAGCTGAAAAAAACCTCCCAGGAGCTGATCAAGAGAGGAAATCACCAGATGTGTGCAGAGAGCTGGGTCCAGGGATTAAGGCAGGGCAGGCAGTCTGGTTTGGGCATTTCACACTCATCCAGCCCCACAGAAATGGGACTGCACCAGTTTGGAACGATGGGAAGGCAGACACAAAGAGGAAACCAGCGTTTTATACTCTCTCAATGCCTGCCCAACACAGGGACCCTGTGTAGTGCTCCTCACAGCCCCAACCACAAGGGGGTCAGTGGCTCTGAGAGGGAAAGGTTTAAACCATGGCAGGAAGAAATGAGAGGCACACTCCAGTCTCTAAACCTCACCTGCCAGCACATTCCTTCCTAATTTGCTTTGCAACTACCAAATGAAAAGCCTAAAGATTAAGGAAAAAGAAAAGCTCAGAGGTTCAGCAGCACAGAGGAGGGCAAGGGAAGAGGGGAGAGAATAAAAACATTGCAGCATGAAGGGACAGTCAGAGGGAATCACATCAGCAATTGTCACGTCGCGCCCAAGCCCACGAGCAGCAGAGGAAGACAACACAGTGCTGACTTCCAGCTGAAGTTCCTTCTTTTTACATCAAGATGAGATTTGAGTGCTCCACACCATCTTTCTCCCTTCAGCCCCCCAGCCCTGTTCATCTCTGTTCAGGCCACCTTCACCAGCCACTTCTCAAGGCCCTCCAAGTCAGCTTCTCCCTCCTCTCCTTTGCTGCCTCGAGCACTGCACTCCACAAACTCCACCTTCATGGGCAGCTGGGAGAAGTCAAAGTCCTTGCCCTTCTTCCCCAGCTGGGCAGGGCCCCCTGTGGCTGAGCCATCCAGGCTGGTGGGGGCTGCAGAGCACGTCACCCGCAGGGTATTGCTGCAGGGAGAGAAGAGAAAGGGTCAGGAATTGAGGACCAGGAGAATATCACCTGCAGCACAGCTCAGATGTGATCCCAAGATGTTTGGGATCCAGCTCTGCCAGCTACACCAAGGACACAAGGCCCAGCACTGCCCTGTGAGGCTCAGCCAGGGCCTTTGGCCACTAGTAGAAGGTACAAGTGCAGAGCTTCAAGGGAGTAGGAGAGCACCCAAGGAGAGGTGCTCAAACAGGTTTGGTTTTGTAATAAAGGGCAGAAGAAGTCAGATGATGATGATGATGTCCTTATCCCAATTTGCCCACAGTAAACACTGGAATAACGGTGCCTAACAGGGCACAGTAATTACCTAAAAATCCAACACCTACACGCAGGTAGTTGGCAAATGCTCACCATCAGAACAAGCAATCCTTATTTTCCTGGAGAATGTGAACATGTGGCAACCAACTCCTCTGCTAAAAACCAGAAGGTTGGGTATTCAGCCTGGAAGAGGCACGGCACAAACACCCCTGCTGCCGTCTGCTGGCCAAAGGGATTATAGATCCAGGGAATCGTTCAGCTTGGAAAAGCCCTCTAAGAACATAGAGTCCAACTGTAAACCCTGCACTGCCCCAGACAGAACAGACTGCTCCCAGTTCCACAGGGAACTCAGACACGACTCAAGGGAGCTCACCGAGCACTGAGGTAAGAGTGAAAGGACAAGAGGAAAAGCTCAGAGGGATTGAGATCCCATTCCATACTTACAGCTCTTTCTCCAGCTGTTGCTGGATGAGTTTTGCTGATTTTGCCATTGTGACATCTGGAGAGAAAAAAGGGAAATCAGCTCTTTGGCTGTCAGAGTTCAGAACCTGGTTCCTCCCCCTAAAGTAAGGCCAGCTCATACTGTGCAGTCACTGGAGTTACCAGGACAAGGACAGCCGTGCCTGCAATAGGATGAAGGATGCTGGAGCTTTGGGATCACAGACATGAATGGGAACAACCCAACAGTCTGATACAATGCAGGGAATTAATTTCTTCTTGCTGGGCAGGAAGATACTTCAGATGATGGGTTTGATGCACCAGCACTCCCTCCTGTCCTGTGCTTTCCACCTGTTGCACACAAAGCCATGAAGGCCTCAGGCAGCTCCTGAGTTACTGCAGGAAATAACTACAAAAACCAGATCTGGTACAGCCCCAAAACATCCAGCTGCTATAGAGGGACACAGACTTTCACTGCAGAATTTGTAGGGATCTAAAAATTTATTCTTTTCCTGCAGCTGCATGTTCCCAATGCTCCAAACCAGAGAAAATATGGCACCCTGGCAGCTGAAAAACTTGTTTTAACTTTAAAGCTGCAGAGTGTGTAGGGATAGTTCATTATGCTCCAGCTGATCCTATTTCCTGCTGCCTGGAGACTGAGGCACAGCTCTGCACAAAGCAAGCAGAAACAGAAAGCCACACAAAAGCCACCTGCTTTACTTACACCCACCCAAAGTGCAAATCTCCCAAGCGGTCCTCCAAACACTCCTGCTGAGTAGTCAAAGTTTGAACCTAAATTCCAGCCTTCCTTTTGCTGAAATCCCACTTCCCAAGCTCAGCAGCCATGGCACGAAGCCCTGGCCTGCAGGACTGGCCAGGCCCAGCCCCAGGGCAGCCAGGGTACCTTGCTTGTTGCAGGCGATGAGCAGCGCGGGCGCGTTCCTGAGCACGGTGCTGTCCACCAGCACCTGGTACAGGAATTCTGCCACATCCTTCACCTCCCGCTGGAAGGCCACACTGTCCACCACAAACACGATGGCTCTGGGACAAGAGGGAAGGACAGGTGCTGGGGATGAAGTTCTGCACTCACCCTCCCCTACAAGTATTCCAGCCTGGGCTGAGATTTCCACACCTGGTCTCACCCAGCCCAAGCACAGGTTCACAGCATGTGCTGGCTGAAACCACGACCATGCTGAAACCATGGCCAGCTGCAGCAGGAATTCTTCCTCTGTCTGCCTGCCCCAGGATGTCCCACACCCCCTAGACCTCCCTGCTGCAGTGGCTTTGCCTCCTGGTGCACTACAAGCACAGGCAAGTAGGAAATTCATGGTGTGATTTTGGGATTGTTCTGTGCAGGGTCAGGAGCTGGACTCCATGATCCTTGTGGGTCCCCTCCCACGCAAGGATATTCTATAAAGGCAAAGCAAAAATTAACCAGCACCACCCCACAGCAGAGCTCTGACTCTTGGGCTTGGGGCACCACCAGCCCAGCTCACAGTATTCCCAGTAGCATCACTTGGTTTATCCCTTTCCAAAGGACCACCTGCCCCTCCTCCCCTGCTGATCCCCTCCACGTTACCTGGCTGCGGCCTTGAACCTCTCCAAGAACTGCAGCCTCAGACTTTCATGGCCTGGAAGGTCAATCAAGGTCACATTTGTGCTCTGGAACAAAGGCAAGAAGGAATTAACAACATCTGATCCAGGGGTTCCTGTGATCACCGACTGGGGAAAACCAGTCTGACCCTGGATTTGTATCCTCAAGGCACAACCCCACCTGCCCCTGACACAGCACAGAAACCTACAGCCTCACCTGTTCACACACACACCTCACTAAAAGTCTCCCTAAATACACCAAACCTTGCTGGGAATCACACAAAAATGCCTTTGCAAGAGCCTTTTTTAACTGAAAGCTGCAAAGGATTCCCTTCCCAGGAAAGGGAACAGCCAAAGCCAGGACGTGGGAGAGAACAAAGGGCCGAGCAGGGCCACGTCACCACTCTCAAGATAAGGCTGCAGGAGCCCCTTCCTGCCCACTGCTCTTGGGTTTTATTGGAAATCTTGGTTATGATTAAAAAAGGGATCAAAAAGCAGCAATCTGGCTTGCAGCCTCCACCCCTTTCCAAATACCTGTCTGCTCAATTAGAGAAACACAAAACTGGGGAAAAAAATAAATTAAAAACCATGCACGTCCTTTTACCAAGTTTGTAACCTTATTAACACTGTTGCTAATAATGACTGGGAAGGTGAAGCCACAAAACCACTCTCTACTTTTACAATTCACCAGCAATTAAAGTGCCAGCATTCTGCTCTCCCTGCCACGTGTGCATCCAGTGAAAGAAAGAGATTTCCAAAATGAAAGAACTGCCAAAAACTGAAAATAAGCAGGTTTGTGGCAGCCCAAAACCTAAAAAGTAACAAAATCCTTTCTGAGACCATATAAAGTGCAGCTGGAGCCTCTGCTTAAACCTGATAAAGCTTTTAATGTCAGGTTTTCTTGAGAGAAAATTGCCAAGGAAATAAACCAATGCAACAGAACAGTGAAACCCCCCAAATCTCCCTCCTGCTCCAAGCCACAGGTATGGTTTCCAGTCAGAAAAGTTTCACTATTTTACAAGCAAAGAAAAAAGAACCTGTGGAGCCCAGCAGGCTCTAACACATCCCAGTATTTCCCTGCTTTCTCAGCCTGGAAAAATCCTCTGCTGCACTTGGACCACACTGGGGCCTGAGCAGCAGAAAAACCTCACAGGTTTAGCACAGGGAGGACGCAAAGGCTGCAGGCAGAGCTGAGGCTGTGCACTCACCTTGTCTGGGCTGACCCTGTAGACGGCAGAGCTGTCGGTGATGGAGGTCTGGGTGTCACGGTACCGCCCCGACAGCAGCTGGGGGAACAGGCAGAGCTTCAGAACAAACAGCCCCAGAGGCTCCACAGCCTCCCACCAGCACCAGCATCACCTTTCATCTGCTCAGAAACTGAAATGGTCTGACAGGGGTAATGGGCATCCGAGAGCTGATCTGAATTTCCTGCAGGAAGCCAGTGCTGGGGTTACTTTCCCCAATTAATTAAAAAATTGGTCATTAGGAAAATAACTATATACTTGTATTGTGGTAATAATAACAATGATTAATAATAATAATAATTAATAGTTATTCTCCACTAAAACAAAAAGGAAGAGAGTGTGTCTGCAAATCCTTCAGTTTTCCAGCTGGGACCACACACCGTCAGCACGGCTGTGCCCCGTTCATTTTCAGACTTAACAGTAACAGAATATCCACGGTTGGAACAGAATCATCAGCCCAACTCCCGGCCCGGCACGGACACTCCAACAATCCCACCCTGTGCATCCCTGAGAGCGTTGTCCAAACCCTCCTGGAGCTCTGGCAGCCCTGGGGCCGTGACATTCCCTGGGGATCCTGTTCAGTGCCGCAGCACCCTCCGGGGAAGAACATTTCCCTGATTTCCAACCTAAACTCCCCTGGCAGAGCTCCAGGCGCTCCCTCGGGTGCTGTCCGTGGTCCCAGAGAGCAGAGACTGGAGCTGCCCCTCGGGAGGAGCTGCAGACTACGGTGAGGTCAAGTATCCCTACGCCTTTTACTATAAAAAATTCAAACCAAAACGCAATTTCTTTTGACATTCCGTGCTAGACGAAAATGGGTCTCCATCCCTCCTTACACCTATAGACCCAAACTTTCACATTTCATTAGAAGATTAAAAACCGAACTAAAGTGAACTCCTCCACCTCCGTACACGAGGCCCCCGCGCCGCTCCCCGCTCACCCGCGCGAAAAGCAGCGTCTTCCCCGCATCGCAGAGCCCCAGCAGCAGCACGGCCTTCCGACTGCTCCGCCTGCCCTGCACGAACCGCCAGATCACTGCGGGAGAGAACAGGATCAGGAGAAGGGGACGGTGAGCGCTGGCAGCCAGCAGGCCGCGGAGCGGGGGGAAGAAGAGGTTCCCGCAACTCACGGAAGGTGACGGCGACGACGATGAGCGCGACGAGCACGGAGAGCACGGCGGGGCCGTGCAGCTCCCGCCGCAGCGCCTCCAGGTGCGGCTCCAGCCCGCCCGCCATGGCCCGCACACGTGGCCACGCCGCACTTCCGCTTCCGGCCGCGCGGCACGCCGGGAAGGGCGGGGCGCGGGGGCTCATGGGAGCTGTAGTTCTCAGATAAGAAGCTGGGACCCGTTAGGGGAGCCTGGAGAAACATGGAATGGTTTAGGCTGGAAAAGCTCTCTGACCTCAGCGCTGTTAAGGCCACCACTAAGCCATGTCCCGAACTTCCATACACACAGGGCTTTAAAATCTCAGGCAGATGTGCCAGGGCTGAACAGCTTATTCTGGAAATAAATGTTCCCAAAAATTTCCAACCTGTCCAACCTGAACCCTGCCTGGCACAGCTTGAGACCCTTTCCCTTTGTCCTGTCCCTTGTTCCCTGGGAACAGAGCCTGACCCCTATCCCGGCTGCCCCCTCCTGTCAGGGAGTTGTGCAGAGCCAGAAGGTCCCCCCTGAGCCTCCTTTTCTCCAGGCTGAGCTCCCCCAGCTCCCTCAGCTGTTCCAGCCCCTTCCCCAGCTGGACACGCTCCAGCCCCTCAATCTCCTGAACTGATGGGCCCAGAACTGTCCCCAGGACTGGAGGTGCCTCACAGGTGCCAGCACAGAGGGACAGTCACTGCCCTGGGCCTGCTGGACACACCATGGCTGGGACAGCCCAGGGGCCACTGGCCTCCTGCCCACCTGGGCACACCTGGGCTCATGTCCAGCCGCTGTCACCAACACCTCTATGGCCTTCCCCAGCTCTCCAGCCACTCTGTCCCCAGCCTGGAGCACTCCATGGGGCTGTTTTGTCCCAGGAAGATAAGGCTGTTTGTACCAGGCCTCAGGAAGCAGAGCCAGGCTTCCCACAGTGGTGCAGGGTGAGGAGTAACAGGAACATATTGAAACTACACAAGTTCTGAGTGGATATGAGAGAAATGTTCTCCTTTGGGGGCTGCCAGGAGCAGGACAGCCTCAGGGAGGTTGTGGAGTTGTCGTCATTGGAGGTGAAACCTTGAGTACCCTGGCTGATCCCTTTCCTTGAGGAGATCGGTCTTTTCCAGCTTGAGTGATCCTCTAGTGAGGTTCCTTTTATCCATGCCTTCTACTTATGGGACAAGGGCTTACACCTGACATAAAATGCAGATGGTGCAGCTTTTTGGGGGGAAAGTTTTCTATCTGTAGCCATACTGAGTTGTAGAAACAGCCTGTTAGAGGCACCGGTTCTTTCTTTGCTAGTTTTGAAGATTGGGTTTAAAAACTCCCAGTGTATTCATCCTACATAAATTGAGGGATTACATTTCATCCTTTCCTGTCATACTCTGCATTTCTGTCATCCAGGGGGATTTTCAGCCAGGTTGATGGACTTCTCACCACACTTACCACATGCAACCAAAAATCATTAAAATATTCAAAGGCAGGCGCTTTGTTCTCTCAGCAGCTCCTCCACGCCTGACAGCAGGATTGGGACACCCTGGATGAGCCCAGGCTGTGTCCTCTGGAGCAGAGAGCTTCAGCAGCCCTTTTTGCCTCACCTTTTTATTTTCACCGTGGCTCAGAATCAGGCAAAACAAACTACATGTTTGTTTTAAGGTCAGCAGCACAAAATCAGAAAGACTACCAAAACAAACACAATTCTGAGCAAATCCTAGATTTTTCCAGAAAGGAAGCCTAAGCCTGAAATCTCCCCATCAATACATGTATGTGCTCAATGAGTCCTGCCTGGTAGAAGGGACTTGGACCCAGCCAGCTGAGATCTGAGACACAGCAGTTTCTGTTCACACCTCCCACTGTATTATTTTGGAGTGGTTTTTATTCCTTTTTCAGCATTCACCTTCCCTGACACAAACACTCTTCCTGTGTCCCAACCACACTGGGAAACCGTCACCTGCAAGGAAGGCAATGGGACTATCAGGGCAAAGCAAAATCACAGAGAGTACAGAGCATCTATTAATTAGGCTCCAGGGTATATTCAATCCATTTTGCTTCAGCAAATGGTGCAAGAAATTTCCCTAAGAGGCAGCAGGAAGTGACATCAGCCCTCCTGGTATCTGTCACTGTCCTGTGGCGAGAGGCACTGAGGAAGGAACGGGCTTAAGGACCACTTGGAAAAATCTCAGGACACCCATTTGGATTTGAGATTTTATTTTTTGCTGTGCTAGCAGCAGAGAATTGTAAAGTGTCAAAGAGCTACTTTCAGAGTGATGAGGGAGGGCAGAGAAAGCAGTGAAGGCAGAGGGCCCTCCACGGGTCAGTGTTTGGTGCTGAGGGCACGAGAGGAGTCATGGCTTGAGGCTTTCTCCCCCACTTCGAGGATCTTTCCCATTTCACTACTTGTCCTCAAGGAAGGTGCACACCTGGAGAAGATCTGGAAAGAGAAAGGACGGGGAGAAATTCAGATCCTGCTTTTAAACCACCAGCACACACCCAGCCATGCCAACAATGTCACACCATGGAAAATCCACAGTGTTCCACAAAAAAAGAGCTTTAACCACAAATCCCACACTGATGGGTCCAGGGGGGTTCTCTGTACCATTTCTCAAAGTCCGTATTTTCTAAAGGGGAGGAAAAGTCTTTTATTCACTTTGCTGCCAAAGCAGCAGATTTTAAGTCTGTTCTCAGTTCACCCAAGGAACTTTGAGAAAAGAACATTGGCATCTTTTTCCTTTAAAGGCATTGAATGGACAGTTCCAGGAGAAACTGCTCATGCCTACAATTCAGGACTTCCTCTGGGGCTGTTCCAGTTACCTGATGGGTTGCAGGTGTTGAGGCTGGCAAGTGAAGCATAGTATTTATCTCCGAGGAATTCCTTGTACGATATTCCGTCGCGGAGCTTGATCAGGCACTTTGTCCGGTCTTTAAACAGAAGATCCTTGGATTCATATGCAAACATATTGAAATCTTTATTCCTGGATCCATTTGCTCCAAACAGCCTCTGAAATAAAGGCATGAAGAGGAGAGAAGTAGAAAGCTGGCCTGCTTCTTGTTCCTGGTTCTTCACCACCAAGCCAGGCTCCAGAAATTTAGGACTAAACCTTCCCCCTTAGAGGAGGGATCACTCACTAACAGGCACATTTTTCCCCCTTTTTAAAATGTCCCTGATGCTGCCAGCAGGTTCTGTAACTTAACCATGAGCAGAAGCAAAAGGCCCCAAGCACCTCTCACCAGACCCTGATCGTGGAGCTGATATTAATGTTTGCAGGGAGAAACAGAGATGGTTTAGCCTGGCTCTGGTCAGCCCAGCAGCTGTAGGACTGTGTGTGTGCAGGGAGGCTGCTGTTGGGGCTGAGCCTGACCCAGCTGTGGAACAGATCAGGCACCACAAAGGAGTTTCTGAAACACCCCAGCAAGAGCAGAGGCTGGAAAGGAAGTGATAAACTCATGTCACACAAGTATAGTGTGACAGCAGCAACAACTGCAATCCCACTGCTACCTAAAGATGTGTTTGCAAAGGTGACAGAGGAGAAAGAGCACTTGGGAAGGGATGGAGGAAGGGGAAGGCCAAGGGACAAGGCTGTCACCCCTTAGTGAAGTAAAAGCTTCCCCTTATGCTGACTTGGGGAAAATCAGAGCAACCCCACACAATTTCCTCTGCTCTCAGCACTACAAACCTCCTGGCTCTCCAGCATCTCACGGACTTGTTGTGCTTTCTCAGGACGTGTCATCACAGCGTGGGTAGGGACTTTGGCCAGGTTGCATCTCCTGTAATCCATTACATTTGCCCGCTGCCCATCAGTGCACAGCAACTCAAATTGGTCCATTGTCAGGTCTTTGGCCCAGCTTTCTGTGTTTCTGCCTTTAAAGAGAATGGGTTTGGAGATTCAGAGATCTTGTGTAGCAGAACATCAGCCTCAACACCACCTAAGCAATCATGAGATGAGGAAGGCAGCCCTGACCACGTACCATCAGTGTTCTCCTCAACGATGGAATGCTTGATAAAGGCCACATCCCCCTGCTCGACCAGACACCTGGGAAGTAGAAAAAGAGGACAGTGATGTAAGTGCTTGAATCCTGTCCTTTTCTCATAGATTTGATTTAGACTTGAGTCATATTCTGCACAATTAATCTCCAAGGACCTCCAGGTCTAGCAGCCCTGCCACAAACATTTAAATTATATCTGAAACACTTTAGTGTCTTTACACTTATTTATGTTAAGAGGTGCCCTTCTGCCATTGTGGGAGGGCTTGTGCCCCTCTGGGTTTGCCTGGAGGCACCACGACATGAGTTTTACAGAATGTGGATATTTTACAATTATCATTTTTCAGAAATTTATCCATTTTCAGAAAGCAAGGAAAAAACATGTGGTATATGTACAGTATTACAGAGATACGTACTATCTGTGGTGAAATGGAGAAAAAGAGTAGGTCAGCAAATCAGTGTTGGCATGAGGCTGTCCTTCACCTGTGCCCCACCCGCTGAGAGCAGCCCCAGGACTCTGAGGCACTGGGGGTCCCCAGCACGTACCGTAAAGCTCCGGTGTATCCGTAGTACTGCTCGTGGCTGCTGGCAACGCACTTCTCCGGAGGGACCCCCCCTGAGCCCTTGCACAGCTTGCAGAGGCGGGAGGTGGGAGGAGACCCGGGAGCACAGCCCTGGCTGAAGTATTCATCTGGAGGCAGGAATAGGAGAAATTCACTTTGCCTGCCCTGAGAAGTTAGGGTTTATTTTCATAACGCGTTCTCGCCCTGAGTTTGCTCACTGGGGAACTGGAAACGGGCTGGGAGGAGGAGCATGACTTAGCGGGCAGCAGATCATGTGCATCCAGCTTTGATCATGGAACGTGGCTCCTGTTATTATTGATAATTATTGTTATTGTGGCCCAGAGAAGCTGTGGCTTCCCCTGGATCCCTGGAAGTGTCCAAGGCCAGGTTGGAGGGGGCCTGGAGCAGCCTGGGATAGTGGAAAGTGTCCTGCCATGGCAGGGGGTGGAACGGGATGGGCTTTAAGGTCCCTTTCTAGCCAAACCATTCCGTGATTCTGTGATGAAGCAGGGCCTAAGGCTCAAGTGCAGTTGGCACTATCTTGGTATAAAAAGAAGAATGTTTTCCCTGCA